ACTTTGTTTTGATATCTCCACTTTGTAAATAGCATCTTGGTATGTACCTTCATGCTAACAACCATGCCATCTTACAGTTGATGGGTAACCATTTCTTCTCGCTTTCTGTTATACCAGAACATTACCTATTCTATTGTAATAGACTCTCCCACACATAATAAGTAGTAGTAGCGGTCGCCAGTTAGGCTCAGTGGTGTTGAGTGAGTCAGTCGATGTCGGACATTGAAGTATCAACCACCACAACTAGATTGCTGCGTCATTAACTATTATTGTAAGTTCCTAACGTTTTGTACCTCGAACCTAATTTAGGACCGACTTAGTGAAATACAAGCCTCCACTGTGTAAACTACTCTACAATACTTTCCTTTACAATTTTTTCTCGGAGATCTGGCGGTTTTATTTCTGCGTCTGCCACCAACGCTCACCAATAATACATCCTGGGAGAACTTCTAGTTCTCTTACGGTAGCTTCGTTGTAAAGTTTAATTAAATCAGAAAAAAAAACGCATCCTTGTCTTACGCTCCTTCATATTTTTTGTGCATTTACTCAATTCATTTTCGGTCCGTATGCAGGCGGTTGGCTCCTATTATATTTTCTGGATTATTATCTTTCCAAAATAGATCTTCTCTTACTTGCGGTTTGAATATATTTTCGTACCGTGACGCATCAAATGCTTTTTCCCTAATCTATGAAACTTAGGCATACAAAATCACTACATATTTTTCATCATTAAACTGAAATTATTGAACACGTATTTAAGAAAACATTAATTGCTGGACTGCGATCACGTTAGACTACACTAAACGAAAAAAAGCTAAAACCTCCATTTTGCCTTTAAAACATCATGTAAGTAGTACAGTCAGTTATGTGCCATGCATGATACATCGTTTAGGGCGATCATGTATCTTTCGATACATGACTGACGATGTAGATTTTTTCCCCGCAGGAGGTTGCCATTTCTTTCGGCGGTAGACCATTTGCCATCAAATTTATAGAATCCAGTCTGTCCTGCTTCTTACCCATCCAAAGCTTGGGTGGGGAAGAAGAGGAGGATTCATACCTTTCCCAAAGGGTATTAGCATGTCAGTCAGTCATGTGCCAAATTGCGATACACGCTTAGGCGATCATTTATCTTTCGATACATGACTGACGAACAAAGTGGATTTTTTCCTGCAGTTGGTTGCTATTTTTTCTGCGGTAATTTTATCAAAATGTATTGCTGGTTATTTTGCCTTAAATTGAATTGTTATTCATTTTATATAAATATGTATTGAGTGTTTTTTTTGCATAAAAAATGTATTGCTGGTATTTTTTTACTATAAACCTTTCTTGGTCTTTTGTTTGGGGATTCACAATTTTTCCATAGCTAGGACAAAATATCCTGATCAGACTCCTCGCTGCTGGATGAAGTGTATCGTCATTTCCAGGACGAGGGAGATGTTTAAAAAAAAGTATTAAACGAAAGAACGCATTTGTGTGAGAGAACGTTATGGATTTTTTAGAGTTATTTTTGTAGGGATTTTTTCATATTGTTATCGTAACTATCAAAAAATAAAATAAACTTAGAGGACCCTCTATTCCAAATCAGTCACCCATCTATATACTGATCAGGCTCGACGTTGCTTAACTCTAATGAGCGTACGGGTACCGGTGGTCCAACATGACGCGGTAATAAGCCCAACACCAGCAGGTTATTCAAAAAAATTCACAAAAGACAAGTAGAAATGAATTAGCATAGTTTAAAAAACAGCTGGTGTAGTATTATTAAAAATTAGTGACAGATTCGTGCGGTCCCGGATTACTGATTATTGCAGATAACTGGATACCGGATTTGTGATAGCCAACCTGTACTCATATATTTTTTCTGTGTCTCATTTATTATAACTTGACACAATTGTCAACACTAGTAGTTACTATTGTAGTATTATAAGAAACAGGTTCGTTATGTAGGCTATTTGATGTTACACTTTTTCACCTTTTCCTTCAATATGTGCTGTGAGTGTCAAATTTCCCAGGCCTTCTTTCTTCCTTATGTTTGGGGAAATTTCAACTTTTTTTTTTCTAATTCTAAGATTTAGCGTCCTTTTTGGCTCCAATTTTATTAAAAAATTCTTCGTTACACATGCTAAGTTCATAGTATTCTCATCATCCTTCTGTAGAACCACATCTCTGTTACCATGTCTTCTCTTAATCTGTGTGCCTTTTGACGATATCACATTGAAACACAGGTTTCCGTACGATCACAGAAGTTAATCAAAGTCAACCCTAGTGAGTACCTAGATGGTCAATCGCTTGGGGATGCCTGGTGTTGTAAATTTGGACGTGGGGGTAGTGTGATCGATAATGGCAGGGAATTTTAAGTCGGAGAGCCGAGTTCCAGTTCAATTTGGGTTTGTTATATTCACGCATGCGCAAATACCCTTGGGAAAGGTATGAATCCACTTCTTGTCTTTATTTACCAAAGACCCCTCCCCACAATGCGGGATGTGACACAAGACCGTTTTTGACATGGAGAAATTCCGAGCTCTGTCCACTGATATGTAGACGTTCAGTTACACAATTTTCCTTACTCTATAGTAATAACGTTATTATAAATATTATTAACCATGCGATATGACTTTGCTAAAAGTAGGACACTGGCATTCAAACTTCCATCGCATTTATCCATCCTTCTTTTCCCCGACTGTTCATGACGGAGCAAGGAGAAGAGAATAAGAATTTGTGTAAAATTCAAATTGGTCGTTATACTTGCTCAAAGGTCGGCCGGTCAGTGTTGGAACTGTATTGAGGCGAATCATCGTTTCTCGGGCTTTATTAAAAGCAGCCAGAGGCTTTCGGTTTGGTTGGTCGGCGGTAGTCCGACTTTGCCGAGAAGAAGCCACTGCGTTCGAAAATTGAAAGTTTGCTTGATTGAACTGAACGAAATGGAAGCGACCGATCGATGTTGATGAAAGAAAATTGCAGTGTGGATGGCGTTAGCGAATGGCTGGAAAATACGGATGAAGATGAAAGAAGGGAAGAAAAAGAGGAGGAGGAGAATTGGTAGAGGCAAAAAAAGAAGAAGTAGATAGGAATGAACGAGAGAATGAAGTTTTTTAAAGAAGGGAGAAAAGAGAAGTGGGAAAAATAAAACTTAATTAGTGGCTGGGAAATTTGAACTTTGAGGGAAAGATAAAACGGACGGTAAACAGAAAAAATATTTCAATGAAAGAAAAAAAAAAAAGAAATAACGAATCGAGAAATAAGAAAGAAAGAAGAAAAAAAAATGAAATTAAGAAAAAAGAAGTAAAAAGGAAGAATAAATTATAAGATTGAATAAAATGGTGAATAAATAGAAAGATATGTATGAAAGAAATAAGGAAAGAAAAAGTAAGGAAAATAATGGAAAGAAAGAAATAAAAATCTGTATGTAATTAGGAAAGAAAAACATAGAAGAACCGAAGGAATAAGATCTGAGAGAGAAATGATGAAAAACAGAAAGAAAGAAAGAAAGAAAGAAAAGAATGGATAAATAATACAATTAGAGTCTGTCAGATTTTAACATTCAAAGAAAGAAAGATATAACTGGAGTTAAACAGGATAAAAAAAAAATGAAAAATGCATAAATTAAAGAAAATGCAAAAAAAAAAAAAGACAAATTACGAAAGAAAGAAAACAAAAGAAAGTAAGTAAAGAAAGGAAGAAAAACATCCGTATAAAATGAAGAAAGAAAAATATGTAAGGGGGGAACGAATCTTACTTATTATAAAACGCAGATTGTGTGTGTGTGTCTGTACGTTTATATATTGGATCGGATTTCCTACATTTTTCAACCGATTTCAATAAAACTTCACAGGACTACGTAAAATTACCTTTTGCGGTGGTTCTGACAGCGCCAAAAATTGAAAAACACAATTGTTTTTTGCATGAAATCAATTTGAAAACACGATTAAGTCGCCAGAATGGAAGGGGACAACTCATATCGAGTTATACTTATTATAAAACCCAGGTTGTTTTGTGTGTGTTTGTGTTCGTTTATATGTTTATATGGGATCGGATTTCCTTCATTTTTCAACCGATTTCAACAAAACTTTTTTTTTTTTTTTGGCAGGTAGTGTTTCTTATTGTCTTGCACACTTTTTTCTTTATTTTTACATTCAGAATGCTTTAAAAATTCCATTTACAAGACAATAGTTTATAATAAAATTCTATTCAATCGGTAGACTCAAACAATGTTTTTCTTTGAGTTTGGGTTTGACCAATTCGTAAAAAAAACAACAAAAAAACAAATTTAGACATGCGTGTCCGTCAACCTTAAACAATAATCTTTGTCAATTTTATTTTTCAGTCTTTATGATGGTCGATACTTGATCTGTCTCTTACTGTTATATCCCCGGGCAACGCCGGGCTCTACTGCTAGTAAAATATAATATAGAAAGAATAAAACAGAAAGGAAACATGAAATCATAAATAAATAAAGAAAGAAATACGTGTTAGGAATATATAAGAAAGATATAAGTGACGGTTAAAAAAGAAAAAAAAAGAAGGAATATTGTGAAGAAAGAAAGGAAAAGTAAAACTGAGAAAACAGAAATGAAGAAAAACAAAAAAAAAATGAAAGAAAGAAGAAAGAAAGAAAGAAAGAAAAAAGAAAGAAAATCCGTATAACGTAAAGAAAGAAAAAATGTAAGAGCGGCATTAATTAAATATAATCCAGAAAAGAAAGAAAGAAAGAAAGAAAGAAAGAAAGGGGAAGAAAGAAAGAAAGAAAGAAAGGGGAAGAAAGAAAGAAAGAAAGAAAGAAAGAAAGAAAGAAAGAATGGAGAAAGAATACTATTAGGAGCTGATATATTTAAATAGTTAAAGAAAGAGAGATATAACTGCCGGCCAAAACGATTAAAGAACATGGATATTGAAAATAAAGAACGAAAATGAAAACGAAAAAAGAAACGAAGGAGTGCAAAATAAAGAAAAAAAGATTAAAAAAATAAAAGAAAATTCGTATAAAATGAAGAAATGATCTAAAATTGGAAGGAATAACATATACGATACAAAGAATAAAAACAGAAAGAAAGAAAAATAAAGAAGAAAAGTAAATAAAGAAGAAAAAGAAGTGTTAGGTATACAATTATGGGTTGATGGATTTGAACATTCAAAGAATAACTGAGGGTAAAAAGGAAATCAGTATTGTGAAAAAAGAAAGAAAATGAAAAAGATAAAAAAGAAAAATGAAGAACCGAGAAAGAAAAAAACTTTGAAAAATAGAATAAGGAATAAAGTATTGAATGGAACGATAAATAAAAATAAAATGAGGAATGGAATGAAATAAGAATGAAAAAAGGAAGAAAGAAAGAAATGATGGGTATTTCTAAGAAAGAAATATGCTTAATGTGAAAAATAAGAGAGAAAGAAATTATGGAAAATTCTAAGCAGGAAAGAAGGAAAAATAAATGATATCCAATACAAAAGAAAAGAAAGAAAGAAAAAGAAAGAAAATGACACATAATCTAAAGATGAAAGAAAGAAAAAGAAAGAAAATGACATATAAACTAAACAAAGAAAGAAAATCGCACATAATCTAAAGAAAGAAAAAAAATAAAAGAAAGAAAAATAAATGATGTCAAATACAAAAGAAAAGAAAGAAAAAGAAAGAAAATGACACATAATCTAAAGAAAGAAAGAATAAAAGAAAAAGAAAAAGAAAAAGAATATGACGTAAAAGTAAATGATGCATAGTTAAAAAGTTACAATAAGCGCAAGGAATTGCAGAAACGTTGAAATAAGCAAACGAATGAATAAGAGAAAAGGAAAGAAATACCACGGGATTTCTTAAAAAGAAAGAATCCAGAAAAAGGAAAATATTGAATAAAGAAAGTAAAATGCATACATGTACGATGAAAAATTAGCAGGATACTTTAAAAATTAGAAAAATATCCAGAAATAGGAAAGAAATAAAAAAAAGCCTAAAAAACAAGGCAAAACAAAACCCACTAAAACGCTGTCCAAAACACGACACAGAAGCTTGAAATTCCAGGCAGAATAAACCGCAGGGCTTTGAAAACCAGGTTGCAGCCGCAGTTTATGTCAAGGCGGCCGTAATTACAAGAGAAATGCCTGCTTCATAGACTACTAATATTACTACATTATAATATATATTACATTGCTTCAATTCTTGGAAATGAAGCCTACGATGGATTTATTTTTTTTACCATTAATATTGGCAGACTGAACTTGCCAATGGTGAGAAGGGATATGGTAAACATTTTACACTACGCACCATTCCCATGCAGAAGTTTATATTATATATATATATATATATATATATATATATATATATATATATATATTATTATTTATTTCAAAAATATGATTCAAATCGCGACATAAGAAGTCCCATGTTTGGATTATTTACCTAACCAGTTCCTTCCTATTTTCTATATATTTTCACAATTATTATATATATATATATATATATATATATATATATATATATATATATAGATAATTAATTTTTATTTACACCGAGCTAATGACTCTGTTATTTTTGGCTAATGGCCACATCATATTCAAACATTGGTTCCCATACAACCTCCGAAGTTAAGCAGCGTTGAGACTGATCATTATCTAGATGGGTGATCGCTTGGGAATGCCAGATTCTGTAAGCTTGGCTGTGCGGTCGGTGTGATAAAGGCCCCCGAATTATTAATGGGAGAGCCGTGTTCCAATTTCCGTTGGGTCCGTTATATTCAAGTACGCACAAATACCCTTGGAAAAGGTATGTATTCCATTTTTCTATACTAATGTATGTTTTAATTTGCATGATCTGCATCACTAAATCTAATTCTTATCTAAAAATAAAAACATACTGTCTAAAAATATTTTCTGGTTTTAAATAACCCTAGATGAGTTATAAAATAATTTATTAGATATCATATATATATATATATATATATATATATATATATAAATAAAAAGAAAGAACAGTAAGATATAAAATCCGGTGTTCTTATAGATATTTTTATTTTTACAAAATAGTGCTCAATGTAAATTTATTAGCATTAATATTATAAATTAATTGATTTAAAATATAAATATATAAATTCTTATTTTTTAAAACATGTATTTAGAACTGCTTTAAAAAAAACCATATTTTAAATCAATTAATTTTATAATATATATATATATATATATATATATATATATATATATATATATATATATATATATAATAACAAATTTTTAAAAAAAGGCTAAATTGTTGGTATATTTTTCCGGTGAGGCATAATGCAAAGGAGATAGCAGTTAGAATGGGGGGGAGTTTTTATGCTTTGAAAATCAGCATTTCAAATCTTAGCTTTCTTACATGATTTTTTTGAACAAAATCCACTATAAAATCGTGGAATAAAATGGATTTTAAGAGATAAAAAAAATCTAGATGAATTATAAGATAAGGTATTAGAAGTCATCCGAGATGCGTAATAAAGTATTATTAGTCCTCCCATTGTATGCAGTATATTTCTTAAAATGATGCCATGTTGTTGACGATTGCCTCACATGATTGTAATTTATATTTAATAAAAGATTTAATATGATTTATGATTTTTTTTCAACGAGATTTTTTATGGATTCTTTGGATTTTAGCAGTGACCCATTTCAAAGGTTTAAATTTCAAATCTGAAATTGCCGCTGCACAGAGCTAAAGACATTTTTTTTAGAAAGAAATGCCAACAATTTTTTGTTGAGATCTTTTCAAATATTAACTTAATTTGGAATGCTTAGAGGAGGAGTTTGCTGAAGAAACAGGATTTTCCAGTTTTTATTCAGACCGATTTCGCTTTTGTCTATCTATTGCCTTTTTTTTTATAGATATTATGGTCGCCTTGGTGGACAAATCAAAATGGATAACTGAAATTGCTAATTTGAAATGAGGTCAATAAGTACACAGCTAGTAAATACTGGTAAAGCGATTTTAATAATGCATCTCATGATTGTTTTTCATGTACACATGTGCAGTTGAATTTGCAAAACACCTACAATCATGTTTACACCTCAGTACTCAACATGACAAAACTAGAAAAAAAAAACAACAATAAAAATAAACTACAAGTGATTTCTTATTTGAGAAGTTAATTTGCTGTTGGCCAATGCTTGCGCAATTGTCATTTTCTTATATATAAAGCCAAGAAACTATTTTTCAAAAACGAATTGTTTCTATTGAGTGTCACCTGCTCTATGTGCATACAAAATAGATTAGCCAAATTTATACATTCTAGATGAGTTATAACATAAGGTATTAGAAGTCATCCTAGATGCGTAATAAGGGATTATTAGTCCTCACATTGTACGCAGTATATTTCTGAAAATTATGCCATATTGTTGATGATTGCCTCACACGATTGTAATTTATATTTAATAAAGGATTTATTATTTTTTTCAACGAGATTTTTTATGGATTCTTTGGATTTTAGCATTGACCCATTTCATAAGTTTAAATTCCAAATCTGAAATTGCCGCAGCACAGAGCTAAAGACATTTTTTTTTAAAAAAAGAAAAGCTAACACTTTTTTGTTGATCTCTTTTCAAAAACTAAAAAAAAAAAAACAACAATAAAAATAAACTGCAGGTGATTTCTTATTTGAGAAGTTAATTTGCCGTTGGTCTATGCATGCAAAATTGTCATTTTCTTAGATATAAAGCCAAGAAATTATTTTTCAAAAATGAATTGTTTCTATTGAGTGTCACCTGCTGCTATGTGCATACAAAATAGATTAGAAAAATTTATACATTCTTTATATCACTGGCATTTAAAAAAAAATGTTTCACCCTAAACAAAGCGACAATGCTACTAGCATGATAGGCTATACAGGCAGTGATACTGAAAGAGAAGACTGAAATAGGGGGGGTTGAGTGAAGGACAAAAAAAGGAACAGGGTTCAAGAAGTCAGATGATCGCAACTGGCATTGCATTTAAATTTTTGAAAATTGTAGTTATCAAGGAAGCAAGAAATCAGAAGGGAGTTCCACAGATGGGAAATGTAAGAAAAACAAACCGTTAAAAGTGTTGGTTGCATCTAGCTATTTCAAAAATTAAAACTGTGGAATCTATTTGTCAATCTAGTAACACGTTTAAATTCATGTAATCAGAGAACCAGGGGAAAAAAAGCTCATCAGAGCAGTTGCCAATAAAGTATTTGTAGAAGAGACAGAGGGAAGCCATGTCATGTCGATGAAAAAGTGATTTTAAGCTGAAATTCCAGGTCAGATTAGAGAATTTCATGTAAATTTGTATTTTGAGGAGTGTTTGAAGAATAAGTAGGCACTTACAAAGAATCATGATGCCTAAGGTTTAAAATGAATTTTTAAAAATGAAAAATCTTTCTTGAAGCTTTTATTTTAGTTTTAATTTCAAGCTAATAGATTAAATTTAATATTTCCAACAAGCTAAATACTTTGCTGAATTTTAAAATCTCTATTGATTATTTGTTTGATTGGTTGTTTTGTTTTATGGCATGTCAAAACCTCAGTGGGTCATTTAATGCAAACAAAATTTTTGAAAAAAGTTTCAAATGGATAGAAAAAGAAAAAAAAGGTGTGTATGATATACATATATATTTGAACCATTTTTCAATTATATCATATTTTTGACAACAATTCAACTTCTTTTAGGAAATTGACAATCTTGGATGGTTTTATTTTCGTAAAAAGCTTCTTTTTTTTTTTTAAATTATTACCTTGGTAATATTTTGCTCGCACTAGATCAAACTCTACACACTCTAACAGTATACAACTTTTTTCCTGGTAATATTTTGTTTTATTAAAAATCTATTTCTGGTAATATTTTTTTCCTCAAAAATGAATAAGCTGGTAATATTATTTTAAAAAACATGTATTGCTGATAATTTTTTTGAAAATATAATTGGTAATATTTTTTAAAATTTCAAAAATTTATTTCTGGTAAAAAATTTTTACAAAGTATTTCTGGTATTAAAATCTATTTTTTACATTTTTTTATAAAACTTTTTTACCTCATTTTTAGGGTTAACTATTTGCCCATAGCTGATTGTTTAACAGGTGAATATTACCCTGGTCAGGGTGAGATCTAAAAACACCAGCAATAAAAGGGGGTTTCATGCTCCTCAAAACAGCCTGATGACAGGCCTTGTTCTGTTGGACGTAGTTTATCGTCTGACCCTGGACCCATTGATTAGACCTTGAGTACAATCATTATCAGAAAACAATGACATCAATTTGCTTTATTCAAAAATAAAATATACTTTTCTGAAACTTTATTTGACGAAGAATCTAGATCTTTTCTTTTCTGTATCCCTTCAGGACGTAGGTGATAAAATTTTCCACTTCATCTTGTCAAAATGTAGCTCTTAATAATTTTTTTGTTTTTTTTTTATTTCTCCCAAATCCTGTTCTGACATCCATTTTTGAAAAACTTCCATTAATTTATGTCACGAAAAAACTTGGATCCTACAACCTCTTACATAATTTTTATTGTAATTCAGAAAAACGTGTGTTATGAAAGGTGAAGTATAAGTTTCCTGTCTATATTTACGAGATGAGGTATTATAACATTATTTACATTATTCGGACTATTGTCCTCATCTTTGTCGCCATATTTATCACAACGTTTCGGCCGATGTACACTCCGACCTTCTTCAGGTTTCTGTCGGAAAGGAATATAAAGGAGAGGCAGGCTGCCCCCTCAATGTGAGGCTTCAAGAACACCAGAAAGCTGTAACACGAGGGGAAGTAGAAAAATCAGGCGTAGCCGACCACATATGAAGAGAGAAGGGAGATCACCGCCCTCTGTGGGATCATGTTGCGATCATAGACAAGCAACACCATTGGAAAATTCGTAAACTTAAGGAATCAG